TTAGCAACATGGAAAAAGAATGATATAAAAGCGAGAAATATAATTGTTCAAGGCATAAGCGACAATATCATTGAAATGGTTCGAAATAAAACGACTGCAAAAGATATAATGGACACATTGAGTAACACATATGCGAAGAGTGGAGTAGCTTCAAATGTGCAGCTACAACGGAAGCTGAGAAATATGAAGTACCAGGCAAGTGACTCTTTGAGTGAATATATAATAGATTTTGAGAGAACCATCACTGAATTGAAAAATGTTGGAGGCAAGATTGATGATATTGAAGTCATTAGTCAATTATTAGCTTCTATATCTGATCCACAATACCAGAGTGTAGTGACAGCTATTGACATTTTATTTTCACAACAAAACTCAATTGTTACACTCGATTTTGTTAAAAGTCAATTGCTAGCTGAAGAACAGAGACATAAGACAAGTAATTCAGCAACCGAAGAAAGTCCGTCAGCTTTTTATGGAAATCAGAAGAAAACTTTCAAAAAGAAATTTCAATTTAAGTGCTATTTGTGTGGAAAAATTGGTCACAAAAAGGCCGACTGTTTTAAAAATAAAAGGGAAACCCGAAAGGTGAACATTGCCGAAGAAGATAATGAGGTAAGCTTCATTGGTTGTCTTTCTGATGAAAAATTGAAGTTAAATCACAACCCTTTGAAATTTGTTGTCGACTCAGGCTCTACTAACCATTTAATTTCAGAACAATTGGGACAATTTTTATTGAACAAAAAGCAGGTTGATCACTCCATAAAAGTTGCAAAAGCTGGGGAATATGTGAAGGCAATTTATGAGGGCACATTGTACTTGATTTCAGATTATGGACAGAAAATTAAATTAGAAAATGTGTTTTTATGTCAGAATCTGACACACAATTTGTTGTCAGTCAAAAAGATGGAATCCAAAGGATTGAAAATAGTATTTCATAACAAAGAAGTCTCGGTATGCAAAAATGATGGAAATATTATTATAAAGGGCAACTTAGAGGGAAATTTGTATGTGTTAAACCTAAATGTAAACCAGGAATTTTCTGATGAAGCAAATTTGGTAAATATGAATGAGAAAGATTTATGGCACAAGAGAATGGGGCACTCCTCAAAATATCCATCAAGTGAAGTTTGTGATATTTGTTTGGAAGGTAAACAAACAAGGAAACCTTTCAAGAAGTTACCAGATGATAGAAAGGCCAAACATATTTTGCAATGCGTCTCAAGTGATGTTTGTGGTCCACTCAATCCAAGTTCACATAATGGTAAGAAATATTTCATTTCTTTCATTGATCACTATTCACATTTTGGAATGGTATATTTCATGAAAAATAAGAGTGAAACATTTCAGAAATTTAAGGAATACGTCGCCATGATGCGAAATCAGTTTCAGATGCTTCCAGAAAGGTTAAGGTGCGATAACGGTGGAGAGTACATTTCTCATGAAATGAGAAACTTTTGCAAACAAAAGGGAATACGAATTGAATACACCATACCAAGAACACCAGAACAAAATGGGGTTGCGGAAAGATATAATCGTACCATTTTGGATAAAGCTAGGTGTTTGATTTTTCAGGCAAACATGAAGAAAGTTTTTTGGAAGGAATCTGTATCTACAGCAGCTTTTCTAACTAATAGAACGCCTACTTCAACATTACCTGAGAAAAAGGTACCAGCAGAAATTTGGTTTGGACAAAACCCAGACTTGTCCAAAATCAAAATATTTGGTTGTATGTCATATGTGCATATTCCTGCTGAAAATCGGAAAAATAAATTTGACAAGACAAGTCAGAAGATGTACCTTATTGGGTATACAAACAATGGGTATCGTCTTTGGAATGCAGCAGAGGAAAAGGCAGTAGTTACCAGGAATGTTGTTTTTGATGAGACAAAAATGTGTGGAGTTTCTAAGGAAAAAGAGAAAACTACAACTGGAATTGATTATAAAGAAAATGACCCTGAAAGTAGTCATAATGAAGAATCTGACGACAAAGTAGATGAGAATGTCCAGATTGAAAATGATAGACCAAGAAGAAGCAGACAAATACCTTTACGATTAACTGATTATGAAATAAATTATTCTGATGATGATGAAGGAATGATGGCAGCATTGTTTTTAGAAAACTTCGATTCTCCACAGAACTTCAATGAAGCTATGTCAAAAGGATGGAAAGAAGCTATAAATTGTGAGTTGAGTGCAATAGACAAAAACGAAACTTGGGAACTGATAGAAAGACCTATGAATGTGAAAGTGATAGACTCTAGATGGGTATTTAAACAAAAAATCGCGAGTGATGGAAAAGTGATTAAAAAGGCTCGATTAGTAGCTAGAGGCTATCAACAAGGACAGCGTAATGATTTTGAAGTCTACTCCCCTGTGGCAAGAATGATGTCTATTCGTGTACTTTTATCCCTGAGTGTAGAAAATGACTTGTGTATTAATCAGTTAGACTTTAAATGTGCATTTCTGAATGGGGATTTACCAGAACCAGTGTATATGGAAATACCTGAAGGTTTAAAGACAAACCATTTAGCCAGTGAGTATGTATGTAAACTTAAAAAGTCATTATATGGACTGAGGGAAGCTCCTAAGTGTTGGTATCAAAAACTTCACATGCAGTTAATTGATTTTAACTTTAAAAGATCTAAATGTGATCCTTATTTGTATTATGATAATAATATTTATCTGATTGTTCACGTAGATGATTTAATTTTATTCTGCAAATGTCAGGACAAGTTAGACAATTTTAAAAAGAAAATGATGTCAATTTTTGAAATGCGTGACCTTTCACCTAAATATCAGGACACTTTTAGCTTAACGTTTTTAGGTTTGAAAATTGAGAAATTTGATAATATGTTGTTTTTGAGTCAAAAAGATTTGATTCAAAAAGTTATATCAAAATTCAATATGCAAAATTGTAAACCAACCAGTATTCCAATACAAGTAAAATTGAATTTGAGTTTTGATAAACACGAAAATAAAAGTGAATGTTTACCATATAGAGAATTAATAGGCTTCTTGATGTACATAATGCTAATAACCACGGATCTCTACATGTTATACAGTTAGTTTAATGCGGTGGGTCTTGATTACGCGTTGAAATTTTTCGCAAGCGGTAGCTATCAACCAGATTAGCTGTAGCTTGCTTTTCACATACTTCACAAGTTTCTTTTGCTTTTCACAGGCGGGATGCGAATCCCTTTTCTTTTAATTTTTGTCACTGGCTTCCTTCCACAATTTAGCACTATCGTAAACACCCACAATTCGTCACATTTAATTCAAAAAGGCAAAAACACGTCAAAAATTTGTCAAACATTCTAAAATTTCCCACGTTGCCAAATCAATTATGAGTATGTTTACGAATTCGCAATATCTACGTTTATCCATTTACGCATACCGGTCAAAAATGGGTTAATAGATACGTATACGTTTATTTTTGTTCGCAAATCTTCGAATACGCAATTTAACGTATATTGTCAAAAATTGGCCCCCAGGATTCGTTGTTTCCGATCAATAATGCGCAAGCGCGAAATATAAGGACATAGAATTTGGCTTCAAAAAAATCTATGGTTTGTCAACGGAGTTGAACAACTGTATCGGTACGGTATAAACTGTGCTGCTGCCACGTCATGTGTTGCTGGTATCGCCAATGTCAAATCTATCAAAAACTGCAAACATAACCATAATCTTAATCTACCTGCTTGAAGTTCGAAGTGCTCGTCACTGTGATCGGAATTTTGTTGCCGAGTGACGTCACACTGATCGGTCGTTTCAAATGGCCATGTTTCGAGCGTAACTTGAAATATTTATAAAAAAATTAACGGCTGATTCTTTATGCCTGATATTTGGCATGACTATGTCTTTAGTGAAGTACTTAGAACACATTTTTGAATTAAAAAAAAAAAATGTGCAAGTCCCCTATTAAGGATGCATGTCATCCGCACCAAAACAATCGATATGGAATGGAAGGATGGTGAATATCAGAAAACCTAACAAAAGTAGGGATTTTATCCTTTCTCTCAAGATTTTGGATGGATAATTAGATTTTATGATCGATGCATATTGTTAACAAATACGTCGAGTTGAGGCACTTTATAATATTTTTCAATATAATCTCTATGGCAAATACTATAAAGGTTTAGTTCAAAAAGTAAAAATTGTTTTGGTACAGATCGTGTGCCTTCCTAATTAATGCAAAGAAATTGTGACTAACTTCTCGAACACTTCTAATATTAAACTCACAGGTCAAAGTCAAAATTTAATGCATTACACCAGTCACTTGATTCAGAGTAAAGTTTTGAATTATAATGATGATATGTACACTAGAATACAAAAAAAAACAGGACAAAACTGCTTTAAAATGATTTTTTCCAGTCATGCAGTCAAGAGTGAACCAAATTAGTATTGATTGATAAAAGCAGCAGCAATAATATTAACAGGCAAAAGATGAACATTTGAACTTTGATATATTGTATGGAAATGCTACTACAAAAAAACATAAAATTAAAACTAAAATTTTTAAACGTTTGAATTGAATTTACCTGTGCTAAATTTTCTGTTCAGACTCCCAAAAAGATTAAAAATCTACAGTGCTAGGATGCAAAGACTAGATTTCAACAATCTTGTAAAAATACCATTTGATTATCAAAGATTTATTTAAATTTCACTTAATAATAATATTTGTAACATAGGTTAAAGAATATTTATGTACACATACAAGAAAGTTGGTTGAAACTAGTCACCAGGAAACCAGCCACAGTTAAAAAAAGGAAGGCAAACCAAGAATCCTAAAGCCATTAATGGGATGGGCGAAATATTATCAGTTTATTTTATACCTCTGCTGGTGAAGTTTAGTAGAAAAAAATGTTAAGCCGAATTCGCCCAACCCCGTTTCTAAAGAGACAAAACATTGTCTCCATGCCTAATCTAAATTAAAAATATAATTAAATAAGTATCAACAAGCGTGCTTGGGAAATATGCTTTAATGGCCATGTTTTAAATACCCGTCGGCACTCATGATGCTAGAGGACATTTCGCTGCTCTCCTTAGAGTTGGTATCCGATAGGCCTGGCGATGATGGGCCGCTTGACATGAAGCTTGGTGGGCCACTCCAACCCACACCTACAAGAAATTAAATTTATATGAGAGAGTATTAAAATGTAAAGGTTGACATTTTTCAAAAAAAAAAAAAATTAAAAAATTAATGCATCTAGATTCTTTCGCATGTGCATTGTTTAGATAAAGGGTTGTTCAAAAGTCCTGCATAAACTTTGATATTAATTTGTATATATATTTTTTTTTTAACAAAAATTTGTTCAACTCATCGAGCTTTAAACTGCTAGAGGGATCAACATGCATATTTGTTTGGTTCCATAATGAGGCAACGGGGTGAGAAGGGTGTTTCATCGAATAAACAACAAAGACCGTAAATTTCCACGCAAGTAGTAGAAAAAGAAAAAAAGGCCCAGTTGCCGATTTTTTTTCTGTTTTTATAATAATGAATATCATTCAGCTAAGTATCTTTTGTTCCAAATTTTCTGCGTATAATAAAATCAAAAATATTGTCACGATATCGTCCGCCAGGCTGTCAAGAATCGATGGTGAAAATACTAGAATCTAGCGAATTATTCTACTTTTATCTGGAAAATTAGATTATCGTGTGTATTCTAGATTTTACAGGAATAGATTTAGGGATATATATAAGGACGGGTTTTAGCTTGCAAGTTAAGTTAAAGTTTGACTGTGATACGATTTAAATATTGATTATTATTGCGAGTTGTAAGAGTTTAGTTGTTGTGTTAGTTATTAAAGTAATTAGTGTCGGAGTGTATTGTTAAGTGGAATAAATTACTGCTGTGTTAATTGGACTTTGATTTTTGGAATAAACGAAACGAACCCAAGATTTCTGTCAGGCCACCCAAAGCCGTGACACTGGTGCCAGAAGTCGGATATAAAGGACTGCAGAGTGAAATCCAATAGGAGAAGTGCGGGGACACTAGTGTAGTATAAAAACTGAACACTAAGTGAACACTGGGACAGTTAGTGCAGTGCAAATAGTGACAATCACAAAAAAAGACTCAACCGATCGTGTGAATTACCCCAGAAGTGACTCTATACCCGATTTAGACTTTGATAGTGAATCTTCGAGTGAGTTCTAGAAAATTCTATTTGGAAACTAAGGGAGATATCGAATTTGTGACTTCGCCGACGTATTCGGAACATCAATCGTCATTCAGAAGAGGTTTTTCGAGGAGTTTCGGGAAAATTCTAGAACATTCTATTTGGAAACCAAGGGAAATTGTGACTTCACCGACGTGTTTGCTGTATCAATCAACATCTAGAAAAGAAGTTTCAAGAAAATTCCAGAACATTCTATTCTAGAATAAAGCAAGTTATCCAATTTGTGACTTCACCGGCGTGTTTGGAACTTCGATCAAAGACCAGAAAAGATATTTGAAGAAAGTTCGAGGGAAATTCTAGAACATTCTGTATATGCCTATCACAAGACAACAAGCCAAAATGGACGAACAAAAAGTTGAAGAACTCCTGCGCAAAATGTTGGAACTTCAAGAGACCAGACGACAACAAGAAGAGGTTAGAAGACAACAAGAAAAACAAGACGAAGAACTCAGGCGACAAAAAGAAAAACAAGAAGAAGAAGCTAGACGACAACAAGAAGACGCCAGGCGACAACAAGAACGGCAAGAAGACCTTGCAAAACTGCAGAAGATATTCCAAACCATACAAGGAACTGTCGCTAACCTAGACCAGAAGATTGAAAATGTTAAAGACGATGTGCAAGAAGTTAAACATGACGTCCAGGAAGTAAAAACTGAAGTCAAAATCGACGTTCAAGAAGTTAAAGACGATGTAAGAGAAGTTAAAGACGATGTAAGAGAAGTTAAACACGACGTTCAGGGAGTAAAAGCTGAGGTCAAAGCCGATGTTCAGCAATTAAGACAAGAAGTTGAGGACCAAGTTCAAGCACTCGAGGATAAGATGCGTAGATTAGAAATACAGTCCATAAATCCAGCTAGTGTTGGAGCATTCTCCAGTATGAAGATAAAACCACCAACTTTCGACGGTTCTACGTCCTGGACCATGTATATTCGACAATTTGAAGCTGCTGCAAATACCAACGGATGGAACGATCAAGAAAAAGCTACAGCACTAATAGTGGCGCTACGAGGACCAGCCTTAGATCTTCTTCAGTCAATTCCTTCAATCTACCAACAGAATTACCAGCATCTTAGTCAAACTTTAGAATTGCGCTTCGGAGACCATTACAGACAAGAAGTATTCAGAACACAAGTTAAATCAAGAGTTCAAAAACCCGGGGAGAGTCTACAAGAACTCGAATCGGAAGTTAAAAGGCTAGTGAGTTTGCCGTTTCCTGCAGCTGGGGAAGTCATGCAGGAATGGATGGCAGTATCTGCGTTTATTGATGGTCTCAGAGATTCGAAGATCCAGGAAAACCTAAAAATGTCCAAGTTCAGACAAAGTAGCGAAGCCCTTGTCCGAGCATTAGAACTGGAAGCAATATTTGGTGCCTCACGACCCGGAATACGAGCAGTGTCCATTGAGGACCCAAAGGAAAAACAATTGTCAAAAGAGGATGGTAGCTTCGAAGCCAAAATGAGTAATTTCATGGAGAGAATAAAGAAACTGTTACTAGAAGATAGAAAAATGAGGAACGATTCCAGACAAACACCAACCCCGAGAAACCGAGTAAAATGCTACCGGTGCCAAAAACTTGGACACATGCAATGGGATTGTAGACTAAGGATGTCCTTTCCATCTGGGGATCATTCTCAACGCTTTTCAAGGTCTAGAGACGCCAGCCCTAAGAACAAACAGGAACTAACTAGTACGGAAGGGAGGATGCTGGCTAGTAATGACGAAGCCCCTAGAGTTGTTTACATAAAATCATTGGGCAGTCATTATAGAGGATTAAAATTCGAAGGACAAATTAATGGAGAATTGAAAACCATTACTTTTGATACGGGTGCTGAAGTTTCCATAATTAGAAGAACATTAGTCAAGTCTCGGGCAATCCAATCGCTCACTAGAAACCTGTCACTACGAACAGTCACCGGCGAGTCTGCACCAATTCAAGGAGAAGCTATGATTGAGCTTACTTTTGGATCTACCACCTTCAGGCACAAAACATTAGTCGCCGATATAGAAGATGATTTCATTTTGGGAATGGATTTGATCGGCCAACATGGTTTCTCTTTTGATCCTTCCATGAACATTCTTAAATTTGGTAATGAAGAAATTGTCCTAACAACACAAGAAGAATCCGATGCTGTTAAGATCTTGGCCACAACCCCAGTGAGGATTCCTGGAAATACTAAAAAGATCATTTGCGGAAGATTAGAAACAAATCCTGGGTGCTGCGTTGGACTAACACGTAATTTCATTGGAGATAAACCAGAAAGATTTCTTGTTGGAAAGACTCTAGTAAGAACAAATGGAGACATTATGATAAGAATTGCCAATGTTTCTTCCGAAACAGTAAGAATAAAAGAAGGAGACATCATTGGAGCTCTCGAACCAGTCAAGCAAATATCGAACTGTGACCTACCAGATAAGCGACATTTTGTGAAATCCAAATTGGATACAGACACCTTGATGCAGACTTTGGCGAAATCATGGAAACATCTCGATACAGATAGACTTCAAGAAGCCACAGACTTCATTTTGAAAGAAGCAGACGTATTTGTGATGGACAATCAAACCGGACGAACCAGCTTAATTCAACACAAAATTGATACTGGATTGGCACACCCAATTAGACTACCACCACGACATATGCCAGTAGCTAAACAACAGGAAGTGGAAAACCAAATTGATAAAATGCTTCAAGAGGAAGTCATTGAAGAGTCAAATAGTCCATGGTCCGCGCCAGTAGTACTGGTTACGAAGAAAGATGGGAGTCTTAGATTTTGTGTGGACTACCGAAAGCTTAATGACGTCACCAAGAAGGACAGCTTCCCTCTCCCAAGAATAGACGATACACTAACAACTCTATCGGGCTCCAAATGGTTTTCCACCTTGGATCTCAAAAGTGGATACTGGCAAGTGGCAATACATGACGATGACAAAGAGAAAACTACCTTCAGTACCGGAAGCGGGCTATACCAGTTTAATGTAATGCCTTTCGGATTGTGTAATGCTCCAGCTACGTTTAAGCGACTGATGCATCTTGTTTTGCGAGGCCTTACATGGAGAACTTGCCTGGTATATTTGGATGATGTCATGATTATGGGAAATTCGTTCCAAGAACATCTCAATAACCTAAAAGAAGTTTTTGACCGCTTCCGGAATGCCAACTTGAAACTCAATCCAAATAAGTGTTTCCTATTTCAAAAGAAAGTGGAATTCTTAGGTCACGTGGTATCTAAAGAGGGCATACAAGTTATGGAAGGAAAAATAGATGCTGTCAGGGACTGGCCAAAACCACGCCGCGACAAACATGAACTAAGGAGTTTTCTAGGATTATGTTCTTATTATCGAAGATTTGTGGAAGGATTCGCCAATATAGCTGCTCCACTTCATCGATTAACAGAAGAAAAATCAACATTCAATTGGACCCAAGAATGCGATTCCGCATTTAGAAAATTGAAAGGAGCATTATGTACGAGTCCAGTGTTGTCCTATCCTGATCACAAAGGCATGTTGATTTTGGACACAGATGCAAGTAGCACCAGTGTTGGAGCTGTCCTTTCACAAATCCAAAATTCCCAAGAACATGTCGTGGAGTACTACAGCAGAATATTATCAAAGCCGGAACGAAATTATTGTGTCACCAGAAGAGAGTTGCTTGCCATAGTAAAAGCAGTCGACCATTTTCATAAGTATCTCTACGGACGCAAGTTTCTAATTCGAACAGATCACGCAGCTCTAAAATGGCTTTTAGAAATGAAAACTCCTGAAGGACAGCTTGCTAGATGGATTGAGAAATTGCAGCAATACGATTTCCAAATTAAACATCGACCTGGAAACCTGCATAAAAATGCTGACGCTCTGTCTAGACGGCCATGTAAGGAAGATTGCAAACATTGTCAAAGAATCGATATACATGAGAAAAACACTAGTCCAACTGTAAGAAGAACGGGCCTGATCGTCGATGACAAATGGACTACCAAGCAAATGAGAGAAGATCAGGAGGTAGACCAGGACATCGGGCAAATTCTACATCTTAAAGAAAATGATGAATGTAGACCAGAATGGGGGGAAGTATCAAACAAAAGCCTGATTCACAAGGCGTTATGGGCCCAGTGGAACTCTCTGGCCGTAGAAAATGGTTTGCTCAAAAGAGTTTGTAAAAGTGCCGATGGGAAATCCACTAAGAGCCAACTGGTTATCCCGAAAGACCGAGTGGAAGATGTATTAAAAGAAATACACGACGGAACCTCGGGGGCACATTTCGGAGTTAACAAGACTTTGGACAAAATTCGGGAACGTTTTTACTGGGTTCACTACCATGAAGACGTTAAAAGCTGGTGCCGAAAATGCGACATCTGTGCTACCAGTAAAGGCCCTAAACTAAGATCTCGGGGGCCCATGAAACAGTACAACGTTGGTCTTCCATTTGAGAGAATAGCGATAGATGTAGCAGGACCGTTCCCAGAGTCAGAGCGTGGTAACAAATACATCTTAGTTATCATGGATTACTTCAGTAAATGGCCAGAAGTTTTCGCTATTCCCAATCAAGAAGCCATCACTGTTGCCCAGGTGCTAGTGGACGAAATTTTTAGTCGTCATGGTGTGCCACTAGAGTTACATTCAGACCAGGGACGAAACTTCGAATCTGCTATCTTTAAGAAAGTTTGTGAGATCATGGGCATTCGTAAGACAAGGACAACACCTTTACACCCTCAATCTGATGGCATGGTGGAACGATTCAATAAGACCATAGAGGAACACCTGACAAAAGTGGTCGCGAAGAACCAACGAGATTGGGACAAGCATTTGCCTCTATTTTTAATGGCTTACAGAGCGGCTGTTCACGATTCAACAGGTGAAAGTCCGGCTAGAATTGTTTTTGGAAGGGAACTCAGGTTACCTTGCGATCTGTTGTTTGGAGTACCCGAAGAAGAACGAAGAGAAATCCGAGATTATGCCGACGAAGTAAGGGCACGACTTCTGGGTATCCATGATTTTGCTCGGGAGCATATTCAACTAGCCAGTGACCGAATGAAGACCAGGGCCGGTATTCTCGTTCCCGAAAACGCTCACCGTTTTTTAGTCGCACGGCACTTATAATGTAAATTTACATTAGAAGTGCCGAGCGACTGAAAAGCGGTGAGCGTTTTCGAGAACCAGAATACCGGCCCAGATACGACTTGAAAGCCAATTCGGTCGGATTTCAAGAAGGTGATTTAGTGTGGTTGTATAACCGAGTAAGGAAGAAAGGAGTATCACCGAAATTGTCTTCAGCATGGGAAGGACTCTATAGAGTACTCAAGAGGATCAATGATTTGGTTTATCGAGTCCAGCGCAACACCAGGAGTAAGATGAAAGTTGTACATCTGGACAGGTTGGCGAAATATCATGGGCGTGAAGTTGATCGGGACGATTAACCTTAAGAGGAGGGCAGTGTCACGATATCGTCCGCCAGGCTGTCAAGAATCGATGGTGAAAATACTAAATGGAACTACCTACCTGCTTCTTAAGAAACCTTTTACAGTTTGGCAACGGCCTAGAAATTGTTTTTCCTACGAGCGTGCGAAAAAGTTACTTTTCCGCACGATTTTCGTTTTGAAAGTTGTACTTTTCCGCACGATTTTACTTTTCCGCACTATTTTTTTACTTTTCCGCACGATTTTTACTTTTGCTGATAAGTGTACCCATATTATAGTTCGGGGGCCCCCTATTTGGGGGCACAGTCCCGCGGGGGCCCCATTTTTGAGGGTCACAGTCCCGCAGTGGCCCCTTTTTGGGGGCGGAGCCCTGGGTGGCCCTTTTGGAGGGTAAAAGTAAAATCGTGCGGAAAAGTGCCGCACTAGTGCTGAAAAGTTACTTTTCCACGATTTTTTTATTACTAAAAATGAAGATATTTAGGATCAAATAAATGATTTGTTATACATTATTTTATATTATGTGCTCTTTTGTACCATCATTATAAAATCTTTGCGTATTGGAAACATTTTTTTTTGATAAATAAGATGGACAAAAACACCCGTAGGAAAAATATTGTACCTAACTCTTGCGGAAAATGTCTTTTCTACCCTCGACGGCTTGCCCGAACTCCGCTCCGCGTCGTTCGTGAAAAGTACCCCTTTCCGCACTTGTTAGGTAAATAACTATTCTTTTCCTTCAAAAAGCGAATATATTCTTTTGACCTACCTACCTGTTCTATTTTAAGTATAATAATTTCACCCTCTCTTTCTCTGTTTTTGTTTGAATAGATCAATCTGGGTCTGTTTTGTGTAGAAGAACAGTAAACTGATTCTAGTTCTCCTCCTAGTAACATCTAAGAGATACGTTTCCGTTATCGTGTTTTTGTGAAATTTTCAAAGTTTTCAGTTTGAATTATTGTGTTTGTGCCTATTTATTTAGAAGCAAGAACATTTTAATAATGGGTAAATGTGCTGTATGTGGTCATTATCTGAATAGGGATTTGAACAGTTTGATTCATGAGTAAGTAAATATTTACCATTTATAAATGGTCAACAGTGGCGTAGTAATGTTTTTTAAGCAAAAATGCTAGTATTGGCACATTGGCAGTATCTCTATTGCTGAGTTTTTAATCAAATTGAGTAAGAAATTAAAAACTTAATATTTCTACTATCTTTTATACCCAATATTTACCAAATTTTTAAATAAAAAAAGCTCGAAAAAAATAAAAATAAAAATGATAAAGTAAATGGATAAGTTATATTTTTGTACACTTGACCAAGTAATTATTTATACTTGAACTAGATTTAAGTACTACATCATTTTAAACAATGTCAAAACATGCTGTGAATTAACGATTTTAATATTTACAAGATTTGCCTCATGAACTTCCTCGTGAGTAATAAAATTGCAAGTCAAATTGAAAATTAAGTAAAAATTTGGTATAGTTGAACTGTTTACATATTATTACTTGAGTACCTACTTGTTCTTATTCATCTAAGCATACTAATTTTGTCCTAACAATTTATCTTTATAAACAAGTATGACTTTTGAATTTAACACAATCACTTTTCAAAACACAATAGAGAATATTTGTGTAGCATCTCGCAAGGGACTTTTTGCATTAAAATATATTTGTTAAATTTTTTCTAGACTTCACTTCAAACAAATCAAAGAAAAAGTAAATTTCAATAATATCCAGTAATAATTAGAGGCGGCCTTCATGGAGGCAGCAGAGAACATTTTGTATCCTGATCAGCAAATGATTCCTTTCTTCCAAAATCTTTGACACAGTTTAAAATTAATGGCAAACTTATGAATGTACTTCATTAATTGTCAGTTGCTGTTCTTTATGGCTATAAGCATTAAAATAATCAAAACATGGTATTTTTAAATGGCCTCAAGATGAGGATATTAAGAAAGAGTGGTTGAACCATTTGGGCATGAAAGCAGCTGAAATGACAGTTACACCAAGATCTCGTATCTGTTCAGATCATTTTGATGAAGGTGCATTCCTCCTAAAAAAATATGGCGAAGAGCAAAGAAAATATTTGAGAGACGATGCAGTTTCCAAGAGGTAATTTTTTGTTTTAATATTCTAGAAGGATGTTTGTAAAAATTTATACATGTTTTGTTGTTTATGCTACTATTTTTAGGTATGAAAAAATTGTTTTGAAGACGAGTACCCAGGGGGAGAAATTCCATCTTCTACCCTAAGTGCAACATCTCCGAAATCGTCTTGCTCTATTGTGACAGTATCAGAAGAGTAAGTTTTCCATTCCAGTTTCAATGGTTTGTTGGAATCTCGACCATCAACTTCATCTGCAAGAATCGCACCAGAAGTGGCCTTTTCTAGTTCTTCCGAATATCCTCCACTCAATCCTCCATCAAAAAAAAGGTACATATTTTCCTTTTTTGCCTTTCTATTATTTATTTAGTAGTTGTTTATAGTACACAATATGGGTGAGTTACTAAGCGCGCGGTATTCCATATCTCCTATACTAACGCAGATCGAAGAAAAAACTACATACGAAACTTGTAGATAAACATGAGTACTACATTCCTAAATTATTTTCCAGTATACAAGGTGGCCCAATAAGTATTGGTGATACAAAGCTATATTTTTTTGAATGACACCCCCTGTATATTATGAGATTTCTGGATTCTGTGGGAAATTCTAGACATATTTCATGTACAATGCCATATACCTATTTTCAACTTTTTCGGAAATTTTGACAGTTGAAAATTAACTTTTTTGCATCTTTGACAGACTGTAAAACTTAAACAGTTGATTTTACAGCAAAACAGATTTTACATTCTTATCCTAGATTTTCATAAGCTATCATCCGAAACCAACTTTGTATTTAACCGGAGATTAATAATTTAAGCGGAATTTTTAATCATGGAATAAATTCAAAGTTGGTGTCAAATGATAGTTTATAAATAACTAAAACAAGAATCGGTTTTGCTGTAAAATTAACCGTCCAGGTTTTACAGTCTGTCAAAGTCAATTTTCAACTGTCAATATTGCTGAAACAGTTCAAGATAGGTATATGACATTGTACATGAAATATCTCTAGAATTTTCCGCAGAATCCAGAAATGTCATAATATACAGGAGGAGTTATTTAAAAAAACATAACTTTGTATCAGGACTACTTATTGGGCCACCCTGTATACTGGAAAATAATTTAGGCATGTAATACTCATGTTTATCTATAAGTTTTATATTCAGTTTTTTCTTCGATCTCTGTTGGTATTGAATATATGGCCCACCGCGCGCTTAGTAACTCACCTCTTTCAAATAACCATAATTTTTAGTTCTGAAGTTTTGATGAAATCACCATCATCCTCTAAGATAACCGCATCAGGAATGGTCTCTTCTGTAAGTTCTCCTGAGAGTCCTCCATTAGAAAAAAGGTATTTATTTTACTTTTTTCGTTAGGTTAGACGTGATTAATTTGTTATTTATTTGGTATTTGTTTACAAAGTATTTCTGGATCATGCTCATCATAGCTTTTTTTCAACTGGAGTTCTGGTCGCAAGTATTTATATCCATTTTTTGACAATATAAGTCACCTTGAGTTACTTCCAGATAAATAGCAACTGTAATTCCAAAAATTGAAAGCATAGTGGCTTACCCCTTTACGGTGTTTTTCAGTTAAAGTCTTGTTTGAAAATTTAAAAAAATTACATAAGATAATTATTCACCAGTAGGCCGCTACAAATCTTGAGAATTATTTCTACTAAAAAAAAAGTTCAAAAAAAAAATTGGATGTTAACAACTATACTTGCTACCAAAATTTGAGTTAAAAATGCAAAAAAATTATGAATGAAAGTCACAAAAGTTTTGTCCTATTATTCTTAAAATTTTATTTCAGAAAATTTTTCGTCGGTGACATCAACAGTAGGGATCGTGTCACTAATTTAGGTTCTCTATTAACTCATCTACGGGACAACAAATATTTGTCTGATAGAGCTCAAGAGATACTTCAGGTAATTTGATTATTTTTAATCCTTAATAAGTACCGCTTATCGATTTATTGTTTTTTAGGAAAGTGTTCCCACACATGCGAAAACATTATTCAACCGTATGCTAAAAGGATCTTCAAGGCAAAAATATGATCCGGATTTGAGAACCTTTGCTTTGTCATTGAATTTTTATTCACCATAAGCTTACAACTATGTTCAATCGAAGTTCAACAAAAGTTTGCCTCATCCTTTTACCATAAGTAAATGGTATGGTGCTCCAGGCTTTACACAGGAAGCATTGGTTGCACTTGAAACCAAAGTTCTTCAAACAAATTATAAGATAATTTGCAGTCTTGTAATGGATGAAGTTGCCATAAGAAAACAAATAGAATGGGACGGAAAACAATATCATGGTTATGTTGACTGTGGAGTAAGAATGAATTATTCCGGCCAAGTACCAGAAGCAACTGAGGCTCTAGTATTTATGCTTGTCGGCCTAAACACAGAATGGAAGCTACCTATAGGCTACCTTTTAATAAATGGTTTGAATGGATGCGAAAAAGCAGCACTGGTTAATCAGGCTCTGGAATTTATCAACGAAAGTGGAGTTGTTGTTTTCAACTTGACATTTGATGGTGCCCCATCCAATGTAGCAATGGCTACACACTTAGGGGCAGATATTTCAGATTTCAGATCGATAAAAAAAGGTATTCATATTTTTTGACCCATCACACATGTTGAAGTTAGTGCGAAACTGTTTTGATGAATACAAAAAAAAAAGTTTCCGGAAATACTATTGATTGGCGTTATCTGGATGAGTTGATGAAAGTTCAGGATGCGCAAGGCCTAAGAGCTGCCAACAAATTATCCAAGCGTCATATTGATTGGACTCGGGAAAAAATTAAAGTAAAGTTGGCAGTTATTTAGCAAAAGCACCGCTGATGCTTTAGGATTTCTACGGGAAGATATAGAAGAAAAAGATGTAGGGATATTTTTAAAGACTCTTTACAGACCGAAATATTCTTAAAACTTTTCAATGATTGCTTTGACATTTTTAATTCATCTAGTCGATTGTGTAAATACGAATATAAAAAGGCATTTTCATTGAGCACTGAGGATAGATTCTTGAGTAAATTTGAAGAGTTAAAGCAATTAATATTTACTTTAACATACCGGGGAAAATGTATTCTTAACACAGGTAGAAAAACTGGTTTTCTGGGTTTTTTAATAAACATGGAAAGTCTAACAAGTTTACATCAAGAATATGTCAAAAGTGAAACGCCATTATTAAAATATATTTCAACTTATAAGTTGTCTCAAGACAACCTTGAATTTTTTTTCTCCACTCTCCGAAGTAGATTTGGCAATAATAATAACCCAACTGCAAAACAATTAAAAAGTGCCTATAAAAAGCTGTTAGTGCACATTGAGATTAAAGGTGCAGATAATGGTAATGCAGTTGCTATAGACAATACCTCAATTTTACATTGTGGTAGCAGTAGAAGTAGCATCACTAAGGATGAAAATGGTGAAGACCTACTGAACTCAGAAGAGTATAAAACCATCTGTAGGCAAATTGAAGATTTGGATTTCATCAACTCATCAGCATGGCACTTGACTTCATATTGTAGTGATATAGTAAGGTATATTGCATTATATGTTAGTAAATCATTAGAAAAATGTATTTCTTGTAAGAAATGTAAAAATATGCTGAAGTCTAGCGAAACCTATTCTCTTTTATAAAAAAGAAAAACTTACTGGTACACCACAATGTACGATGCTTCAAACTTTGTGAATGAACTTTGTGTAATTGCTGAAAAAAGTTTCAGAGTAAATAATAGTGACATAAGTATTCTCAACCAAAATATTAAAAAATTGCTGGATTTATTAATTGGTTCTGCTCTAAGACAACTGAATCCTTCAATTTTTGATTACTTTGGGGATCATATTTTCGACGAAGGTCCTCTTTCTAACCATTTTATAGAATTTATTAAAATAGTCTTTAAAAAATACTTTAAGGGATACACCATGAGACATTTAAAAAACTGGATTCTTCAGTACAAAATAGAGTGAGAAGTAAGTTAACAAAATCTATAACTTTCCAGAATCAATAGTTTTTTTTTTTGTAATTGGGTGACCCAGTGAAGTGGGTCCGAAAATCATAAAACAAGCCTTTTAATTATCAATGTTGACGCGCCCTGCAAGCTATTTAATACACAAAGAGAATAATCAAAGGGTTAAAAAACACGTAAAATATGGAAAAAAACGATACTATTGAAGACTTTTTTGATGCTGCTTGATGCTTTTTGATTTTATATCGTCTTGTATGTAATTTATTTTTTCTTTTTCTATCTGTTTTTGTTACCCCTGCTATATTTGTTCAATATTAGTTTTGTACAAGACGTTTTATCGCCCTCAATGTTCTGTTCTTTTAAATTATACATTTTTAATTATTTCTCTGGTACTTGAATAGAAACAGTTGTTGTGTTTTATTTAAAGTTTTTTTTAAAGTTTTATTTGTATGACTCTTACTTTTAAGTTTTATTTTTTATACTGATTTTTATATCTCAAATGTTTTGTGAGGTCTTCTATTTTAAGTATGTATACATTTAGATATTTTTCGTTATGTTTGGACATTCAAATCTATTTGAACATTCAAATCAAATTTCTTATATCAGACTGTTATATTGAACAAAAGTGTAGCAACATTCTTAAACATGGCAACGCCGTAATAAACCTAGCAACTCAAAAGGATCTGGCAACGCGCAAGAACAGCTGCAGGAAGAACGGCAAGCGACCAATAGGATCGCTCAGCGCGACCAATAGGATCGCTCGGCGCGACCAATAAGAAGAGACGGATTCGAGAGCATGTCACGACATCACGTTATTATTGTTTGACTAATAATCAATTAAAAATTCGTTTTGTACCGCAATAAATGGTTAATCAATTAAAGTATTAATTCTCGTTAATGTGTTTGGGTTCCCTTTGACCTATAATAAAGGGTGGTCCTTCGAAAGTCCTCAACAGAGGATCATTTTGGTCACTTCGGTCGGATGTGAATTTGTTGATTGTTGCAACCTGTGGAATACTGAAGAAGCCGTCAATGGTGAGCTCGTTCCTTTATATTTTCTTATTTTATCCATGATTCCAATCATAATTGAAAGTTGTATAGTCTCGGTGTGATTCATAATAATTTATTTGTTGATTTAATCCATTTTTTTGCGGTAAATCTCGCATTGCACGTAAATAAATCTCGTTTTGCACGTAAATAAAGCTCGTATTGCACGTAAATCTTGTATTGCACGTAATAATTAAGCACGTAATCTCGTTATCATTTATTTCTCGCATAATTTCGCCTCGAATTTAAACCACGCCTCGTTTCACGTAATTTTCAGGTCTCGTTTCACGTATTTCTCACGCCTCGTTTCACGTATTTTTCAGGTCTCGTTCACGTATATAAATTCTCGTTTTCTCGTCTCGAAACATTGAACTTTTAAGTTGATTTTATCGAAAGTTATAAAAAAAAAAATAATAATAAATAAAAATGCCTCGTAATAAGAAAAATAACTCGAAAAATAATAATGATGATGTTATGCCAATTGAAACTCAAGAATTTTTACACGCAAGATCAGTAATTTGTGATAGGCTTCAACGCTTCGAAGACTATTTAACCAATGACGAACCCATTGATATTTTTCAACTCGAAA